ATACATATTTAGGTATTTGCAGTAGATGTTTTTCTTCTGTCTGAACCTTTTCAGATTAGTAAGTATTTATGAGTGATCTTATATAACAGCTTGTGTTATTAGCATTGCTATTTTAACATACAAAAAAAGCATTTATTCGTCAAGATAGCGCAAAATGTTAATAATACATGCTGTTATAAGATCTCCCATATCCCACCAAATTCCTATATATAAAAGTATAGCAATCTCAGATTTATATGTAGAGCTAGCAACGTGGCGGGATATTAATGCACAATCTGGCAACCATGTCGCACCCTAAAAAAATGGCCGCTGACAATCACACAAGTCACCGTGTTGCCATTGAATAGCATGGAATTAAACCTTCTTCACTGTATATGTTTTATGAAATCAAACCTCGCTTTGATGTACCGATCAAGCAGCGAACGCAATCGAACGCCAACGGCTACCTTGGAAACCGTTGACTTATGTTGGCTTGCGCCGTACACACCGATTCGAATACCTCCAAATCTGTAACCACATGTGCCTTGGCTTGCGTTGGAATCTTGGTCTGTACGCGGCTTAAAGCGAGCGCCGTACAGAGCCGCTCACGTCGAGCAAATCGTGCTCCACTCGACTGTCGGTTTATTGACGACTCCCTTTGAAGGTTACATTACAAGTGGTACAGGTGGCGACTATTTTTTGATAGTTCGTCTGTGGCCACAGCCGCTGCAGAATCTGGAGCACTTTTTAGCCGAGCATTCCAACTGAACATTCGCTGGACTCAAATTACGAACTTTGTAATGCAATGCTCGATGTGGGCATTACATTCAGCGCTCGGCTTCAGTCAGTCGCCACCTTAACGTGTTCAAAAAGTCTTTGTCAATAAAAAGAGCATATTATTCTGATGATGAACACCTTTTAGGTATGAACATCTGCCAGTAATCAACTGTTTATATATATATATATATATTTCTTTAATTATAATATGTGATTGTTTACATTATATTTCATTCTTTTATAATTCATATGTTCTGTTAGTTTTCTCTTACAGTGAAATAATTTCACGAACTTTTTGTGACCTAATATAGTGATGTTTTAATATTATATATTTATGTTTGAGTTTTATCTCACAAAATTTTGGTGATTTAAGTGGGATGTTTTTAAAGGACAATGTTCGCAATGTTAGTTGAACCAATTTTCTGTATAATAGTTTTTTGGCACGTAATGATATGCCATCTATTCATGTATTATTGAATAAAGCTCATTTATTCGTCTTCTTCTTCTTCTGCAACAGGAACAGCCTCAGAAGTTTAACAAAATAAGAGTGCCAGAGATAACATGTGTATAATGCTAAACCGATTCAGCTGACTAACTTTCACACCACACGAGGCCTCTCTGTACACAGCAAACCTACACGTGCATATGTGTTATACCGCTATACACTATTGTGTTCATCAACCAGAATATTATCTGTCATGCACCATGGTGATCTTTTGGCAATTGGGCATTGTTGTCATCGAACGTTGACAATGGATACCGATGGTCATGCGCACTGCTAGGAGCGTTTGATCAATTGGAGCGGTGATAGTGGCGTTGTCATATCATTCTCTATGAATACATCACGTTTTTACTTATTTTATTGTGTTTCATGTATTGCATTTCCAAAGCTCCAACTTTGACTTTTAAAGCAATTTCAGAAACAGTAACCTCAAAATCATGTTATTTTTGATTCATTATCGCCTTATTTCTTTGCGGTGCATCTGGCTAATATAAGTATAAATCCGAAAATCGATCGGTCATTGTGAAATAACATTCAAAGTCAGATTTACATTATCCTTATTTCCTTTGGAAAAAGTTACAGCCGCCATCAGAGATGCTAAAGTGAGCATTTTTTCGGAAATCACGGTACATTTTCTAGCATAGGGTAAAAAAACTGTTTAAACATTTCTAGAGCAGAAAGTATGTCCGAAAATAACATGAAAAATTCCAAAATGCCCCATTATGAAGATACAAGTTGGTGAAAGATTCTGATATTCTTAGTAAACCATACCAGATTGTTTGCTATCAATTTGTCTGTCTTCACATGACTAGGCCTATTGCGTACTGATGATTGCGAAAAGCATGAAACAAGGTTGGATGCGATTGGTCATGGCTACAGAGACGGAAAGCAAACAGATTCACTTCAGCCTGCGACTATTTATGCAATATCGCATAGCACGTCATTACTGGTATGTACCCTTGAGAGTACTTCGTATTCCGACTGATTGGCGGGTCGTGCTTTTAATGATGGTAGGTGACATCTATCCCTTCATAGACCGATTACTGTTTTCCGGTGTATGCCAGAGGGGGGTGGGGGCCTTCTGCATTTTCAGTGTATGAGCCAAAAATATATAAAGATTTTTTGGGCAGGAGAAAGCTTTTATAGCCGTCCTCAGGCAGGAAAGATCGATAGATACTTTTTAGCAGCCTTCCCTGCCAGAGAGTCTCCAAAGTCCTTCTCAGTCGTTTGCTTTGATCCCCCACGGAAACGCATTATAGCATTTTGTCGTAGTGGTTATATCCGGCAGATACAGAAACCTACCATTGTTAATTTTTGTCGTCACATACCTTGCTCATCATCATTCGTCTCCACAGAGGATGCATTTCAACCCATTTGCTGTCGTTTAGATGCTTGGCAAAATTGTCAGTACTGAGACTCTCGCCGAGCATTAGTTCCATTTATTTCTGACTTTCTTCAACCCATCTACTGCAGTCGAGTAGATGATGCTCAGGAGTAATCTCCTGGTTAAAGTAATACGTGCGGTTTGCGTATTATCTCTTTCCTACTCGATTTAGGTATGTCCCGTGAGGAACTGCGCAGTATAGTAATCCTCCATCTGCGCTGCTCCCCTGTCAATCCAAACCTTAATCTCTCCTAGTTCACGCTCCATGTGTGGCCTCGTCTTCGCTATCTATCTACCACCTAACTAGTCTTCCTCGGTCCATCTTTGGACATATGCCTCCCCAATCCTTTTCCAGTGTTCTCTTTCTGTCGCTATATAATCTGCGCTACCAGTTGGTATATAGCGCCCTCCTTTATCATGTGAAGCCCCTGCACCCTTCTTATATAGTGCACATCTTCACATTAAAGTCACCCGCGCAGTGCTGCTTTTCGCTGGCATTTGAGCATCAGGTACTAATGCGTTTTAATGGATAAAAGGATACTATAAAAGTCTTGCAACATGACAACAAACGGACGCAGGAGGCTGCATGTTACTGCATGTTGAGACATGTCCATGAGTGCATAGCAGCCGCCAGCAGCTCGTCTGTTAATTTAGTTGTTCATTCGTACTGACAGTGTAAAGTGCGGACTATGGCATCGTGGTCACGTAGTAAGAAAAGGGCAGTTTTACGGTATAACTTTACGCGTGGTTTGAGCATAGACCAGTGCTTAGAAGAAATGACGCTTGCATTAAAGAATGATTGTCCCCCTCGTACGACTATATTCAGGTGGTGGAGAGAATTCCAAAGGGTCAATTTCACTCTGGAGGACGCTGAGAGGGAAGGAAGGCCGCGGACGTCAGTAACAGAGGAAAGCATTACTGCTGTGAGGAAAATGCTTGACGAAGACCAAAGAGTGACATGCCAACAGATAGAGGAGACCTTACATCTTCATGCATTCAATTCTGCATGACCATTTACACGTGAGGAAACTTTGTTCTCTCTGGGTACCGCATAGTTTGACGGAAGAGCAGAAGACTCGTCGTACCACTTGGTGCCAAAAGATGCTGAAAAGGGTATGTGCACAGCATCGTGACAGCTGACGAGACTTGGCTCTATTATTACGATGTGCCGACCAAGGCTCAAAACAAAGTTTGGGTCTTTGATGATGAGGTCATCCCGTATTTTTCAAATCGAGCGGGATTGTGAAGCGTGTCGTTTTGGACACACAGAAGACAGTCACAGCTAAGTGGTACACGGAATAGCGCCTGCCTAAAGTCAAAGAGTCTATGAAAAGTTTGCGACCAAAGTCAAGAATGGACACTTGGTACCTCCATCATGACAACGCTCTAGCTCACCGCGCCGAAGCCTGCAGCGAGTATTTGATCACTGTTGGTGAAACTTGGCAGAGCTGGTTGAGGACTGTTTTGGCGGATGGATAAGTGTATTGAATGTGGTGGAAATAACTTTTATAGTACCCTATGTAGCTTTAACGGCATGTTGGAGATTAACACACCAGCCAGAAACCTTCGTTTTTCACTACTCGGTCCCACCGAGTTACGGAAGCAACGACTCTATTTCTTTTTCTACTGTACGCTTTATGTACATATACTCGGTCATCTTTGTGTACTTATCTAGCTATACGCCTAGGTATTTAACTGCACGCTGTCTATGCATCCGCAATATATTCCTGAAAGTGTGATTAGCTTTTGTCTATCAGATAGTATTGCCAACGCAGTTTCTTCAGGAACTAGTATTAGACCTTTATCTTCTATCCATATTATGCTGATCCTAGTTACTCCATATGCCAGAAGACTTATTAAGCCGTGGCGAACTATTTGAAGGTGGCAGTTGTCAATTTTGTCACATATTTGGCCTGGACCTATCTTAAATAAATGAAGTGTCTCTGTAGATAGTCGCTCCTGAAGATCAGTGATTATATTTTCTAGAAAAGGGATGCACACAGCCCTCCGAAATACTCTTCCGGCAACTCAGCAGGTTCCAACTCCTTTCAATCAAGGAGGAAGCTGGAAAGGTTTTTTCTATCGCGTCATATTGCTTCAGGTATGGTGGTTTTCGGACGTCATCATGTTGAATAACAAGAAGCCCGTCGATGTTTGGGTAAGTAAGTTGTTCAGCGGCAAAGTAATAGTTTATCCATTCAAAGCTAGGAAGGACAGTCATATAATATAATACATAACTACCTACATAATAATAACACGTTTCTTAAAACCAGGATAAATTCAAAAGGATATGACAACATCGCCGATCAGCACAGGTGAGTTAATCCAAATGTAGCGAACCGGCACCCATACCTGTGCGGGTATTATGTTGTAGACCGGGGAAATACACTGAAGACCGCGGGAGTGGACGAGTGGCATGTCATGGGTGGCAATGGTGCTGGGTGTCAGTGTAGTGCTGTGGGGGAGGCATGGGGACAGTTTGGGGTGGGGGTGCAAGGCCGAAGTGGCAGGCAAAAAGGACGAATTGGACATGACTACTATCGATGTTCATCAGTTGGCTGCACACGCACACGGAACAGGTGATTAGATACATGCAGTGGAATTAAAAAATGTGTCATTGCTTGTCCCGATTGCCTCAGGCTCTAGATATTTTCACAGTCCCATGACAAGAAAGAGTGGACTTCTGCAAAGATGACAAATACTGGTCAGTTAAACTGTACGCTTTGACTTGCTTGATTGAAGGAATTAACGTGGTTGCAATGAGCTGATGTTGCACGACAAGTATTCGCTTTATTACCAGACTCAATAGTATGACAATTTGAAACGTTTTACAGTTGTGAAGAGTTTCTAAAAACATAAAAATAAATAGTTATCTTTAACCTGTTGTTTGGAACGTTTCTATCAAGTCGTATTTCTGTCTCCAGGCTGACCATCTCGTTGGTATAAATTGAGTAATTAATTTTAGAAGATCTTTAAACATGATCCAAAGCTGAATAACAATACGATTGTAGAAATCAACCCTTAACCTTCTCAAGACATAACCTACAAATAAAATGAGAATAATTATCTCAAGTTCTCCTTCATAGGACAGGAACCGGAATGCGCGATTCGGCATTCCATATTATCCTCCACAAAGAACTTTCTCTTTTCGAATACCAAGTGAGCGTAGAAACACTAAAAACTCCGACAATGCAGAAGCACTCAAATTGTGTAGGAAAGGATTAATAAGAGTAGTTAGTTGGACTTTTGTGAACGACAAACCTACACAAGATAGAGTGGAGCATGAGGCAAGCTGAAAAATAGAAGAAACTGCAAATCATGTCATGTCTGATTTTCCTGCCATAAAGGATCCGTGTTCTTGACAAGTCAGCAGGGTAGACATAATGCTGCAGTTAGAGGATTGCGTTCATTTAGAGCTTGGAATGGAATAATACTGTAACTGGAATCCACAAAAACCTTTATTATGGTACATACATAATGACTAAGTGGTAACTATTAGGAAATTGAGTTCCAACATTGCGACTAAAAGAAGAAACAGTAAATTCTGTTTTGCTCGCTGACTAGTTGACTATTGAATGGGTCATTTCATCAAAAATCACGAATAAAAAAAGCTCGTCTTTGGATCATGACTGGTTGCAAATAATGTCAGTGGGCGCCATAAAACTTCTATCACCATAAAAATTCTGTATCATTTTCTGGAATTTTTTCAACAACGCTAATTTGCAAAACCGCGGATTGGTCGTTGAATATACTCAGTAATCTTATATACATATACATAATGACTAAGCGGCAACTATTAGGAAATTGAGTCCATACATTGCGACTAAAAGAAGAAACAGTAAATTCCGTTTCGCCCGCTGTGTAATTGAATATTGATTTTATCAAAAACCAAGAATATAAAAAGGTCGTCTTTAAATCGACTGGCTCAGGGTAATGTCAGTGAGCTCCATCAAACTTCTCTTACCATAAAAATTATAAATCCTTTTCTGGGATTTATTTAATTAACAACGCTAATTGCAAAACCGTGAATTGGTCATTGAATATTTTAAGTTTCCAAGACTTACGTGGTTCTGATATTATATTCAGATATAGATAGAAACTTTATGCATGATATTTGAACAGTTAAATCGTGTATAACAGGATATTCCAAAAAGTATTAAATAGAAAACGGTGAGAAGCTTAAAAGATACATATGATAAACAAGAAATGTTCGCCGTAAAGAAATAAAAAAATACAGTACAGTATACATTTATAAAATCAGCAAATATAAAAGTACAATGGACATCTACTGAGGAGGACAGACGATTTTTAAAAGAAGAGCAGGGAAATATACTATTGAGTTAAAATACATGAGCTGCAGGACATTAGACAACTCAAAGATAACAGACAATTAAGAATTTATAACAGATGGTATTTATTTAGTAGCATATACTAATATGTAGGATGTCAGGCGGTAATCATGTTCATTTTCATTCAGTGTGCATACACCACAAGTATCATGAAGGAAATGGTGGATTCCAATAAGCTTGAGATAAAATTATAGCAATATTTACAACCTTGAAGCTCATTTCAAATAGTTTACAATTAGCCCCACGGTACCCAATGGGTGTTTAGGCGTTAGGCTTTCGTGGTAGCTGGAGTATAAAAAAAATCATAGAGATACTGTTAATGTACTGTGCTTTTCAGTGCTTTATTTTTTTTAGCCAGCAGAAATTCTGGATGATGAAATTAATGTATCACTACTTTATTTTAGCGTAGCAATGACAGCTGAAAATTTCAATATGGTGACTGGACGCGATCTTGTAAGATTTTTTGTAACTTAAGAATATAAATTTACTCTCTTTCAGAATAGCCGACTGGCGGTGGTCAAACCTGAGCGTTTTTTACATTGAATCGCCTTTAACTCAATCGCCAAGCATCTGAATGAATCTTCTTCCATTACAAGGGTCTATCAGAATGTGCAATAAAATTTGGGACTTAACGCTTAAAAAAATTGGCAGATCTTGACATTTTTTCAATGGATCGTCCCATACTATATTGCATATTCTGAAGAATTATTCCATGTAAAGAAGATTGATATACTATAGCGTTTTGATGATTGGTCATTTAAGATGCTAGGTTAACCATTTTAGGAGGCAGTAAATTTATATCCGAGAGCTGCAAAATACTAAAAAACGTGAGGAAACGATCGCTTACGGCTGCCTGTCCAGGCATTGATGGTTTGCTGGCCAATAGGGCCGCACAAATTTAAACGTGCGCCCGCTGGTGTTTGTTTTAACGGAGAGTAAATGAAATATGAATTTACAATAGTAGTACTACCCATTTCATTTTATTCAAAAGCGTCGAATAACGTCTTACGTCTCCTCTGCGTTACTGCGCAAGTTTTTGGTAAACATGATTTCCTTTAAGCATTTGCTAAACGTCAATTGTATAACGCCGAGGTGATGGAAAACCAATATAAACACAACACACTATGAAGCTTCTAGTATTTCGAACAGAATAGTTTCATTTAGCTAGCCTAATGAGCTCTAAACACAGCAATTATCACATTGTTGCAATTTCCATTCAATCAACAAGTGCATAGTATGTAGCAAATGTGCTTTGTATACGTACGCAAACGATAGCACGCTATTGTAGTGACATTTTCGTGAACAGGAAGTCGGTTGGAATAATGAGGTAATTTTAGAAACTTACGCAGACTTTGTCCGTCGGATGGTTTGCGTAATTTATTCTGAAAATAGGGAAAATGCCATTTAGACTGATATGGATCAATTCTACTGCGCAGTTTTGGATTTTCAAATAAATGTCATCGCTAGGATTATATAAAGGATTCATATACAGAGTTGCTACTATGGCAATAACGCGGAAGCCTTGTAAAGATCGACCAGCCAAAGATTGCTAGGGACGAAAGGGGGAAATGCGATGAAAAAACCTTACCATTAGACGATTTTATATGGAGTCATAGGCGGAGATCGGAGAGACTTGAATTATTAATTGAATTTATATTTTATTACAACTGGTAGTATTAATATTTTTTTGCGATTCATAATGACGTGATACCAAACATACATTATAAGAAATAAATATACACAAACACTGAATATTGAGAACAAAATAAATATATTTTTTAGGCAACAAGTAATATTCCTATGTACGCATTATGATTGAACAGCAAAACAAATTATGCATTCTTCTAAAATAGAATACAACAAGTCAAAAATATCTGACTGAATAGAAAAATATAGGAAAACAAAAAGTAATTTCTTGATGAAATAACCCATAAACAACACATAGAATTAGACTTTCTACTGAGATACTAAAAGCCACAAACCAATAGTATAATAAATGAATATCTAAAAATTCTAAAAGGTAGCCAATCTAGTATAGTTTCAATCCTGATTAGAGTCATGATCACTGTCTGAGGAACTGTCATTGCTATCACTTTCACCTCCTATGTTGATTATTATTTCTTCCTGTATTTCTTGAATGAGACTGTCTTTTTCCCAATATTCATCTTCAATTTTTATAACATGTCCAATAACCTTTTGCCAGTCACTGGCACTTACTGAAGCGATGGCCTTATTAGAAATTTCATCTAGTTTTTTTATAGTAAATTCGCCGCTTGTATTATGGCTTCTAATGAAAAATTTTACTTGTGCCCAAATCATCTCTATGGGATTAAACTGACACATATAGGGTGGCGTTCGAAGTGGGGTGTGTCCGAAACTTCTTATTAAATTATCTATCTTATAATTTTTCTCATCAGATGGTGGCCTATGTAGACAAGCTATTTCATAAAGCTCCATTTTTTTAGCATTAGGATCATGCTCTATACCTTTTTTGCTCAACCACGTGATGATGTCTCTTTTTAGAGAAGATCTAGTTGGAGGCTTGTCTTCCAAAGCTGAATGGTAAGGTGCATTATCCATTATTATAATACTATTAGGAGGAATGTTAGGAAATAGTTTTTCAGTAAGCCACTTCGTGAAATTTTCTTGGTTCATTTGACCGTGATAATCACCAGTGGCACAGCCAGCCTTGAAAATGAGACAGGCTCCAGGAACAAAACCATCTTGCGAACCCGCATGAACAATTATAAGTCGTCCTGGAAATGAATAAATAGCCTCATTTTAGTGTTATTTTAAGTTTGCCAACACCTTTTTGAATCACTATGTATAAAAAACATATTTTTGAGAAAAAAATACTTGCAAGGGATTATGTATTCAATTAGACAAATTAAATGAGCACTTATTAAGAATATTCCAAAATTGAGAAAAATGTATAATAAGCAAAATCGAGGTGAAAGAAACTTTATTACCTGTAGAACTTATATTGCTCAGGACACCCATAATTTCTTCGCTTTGCCAGCATTTCTTGAAAGTGAGGTCATTATCAACCCAAGTTTCGTCCAAATAAATAATATGCCTTCCTTCTTCCCGGAACTTTTTAATAGACCTAAGATACTTGTATCGCCAATGTAAAATACTGGGTCTTTCCATTAGTAATTTCCTTTTGTTGTGGCATTTACGCCAGTAAAATCCTTTTGCTTTTAAAAGCAGCCTCAACGATTCTTTACCAA